GTGTCTTGTGTGGCTGGGCGGGTGGTGGGGGGGCGGAAATTCAAGGCTTTTCAGTTCATTGTTCATTGTAATAAGAGGTATCCTTCCCTCCTCCATTTCAGTGATGTCAAAAGCTCAGGTTCAGTGGTTCTGTGCACTTTCCTTTCCCAGTCTCTGATATGCAATGGATTCTATATTGGCCCATTTTAGCATACTAAATCAACAGAAAAATAACACTTTGTCCTTTCTTTCTCCTCTAGAGGGAATTCTCCCCCAGGTTAGTTCACCGAAAGGGCTAAGTGAAAGGTCTAACAAGCATGGAAGCAAGAAAGGAAGGGGAAACACATGAATTGAGCAATAAAAGATGTGCAACAGGGCTGCAAAAGCTAAAACTGGCTTGCCACCACAGAGTTGCAGCACAATGCAGCTTTTTCTGACACTTTATGACCTCCACCGAACTACTCCTAATTCCCAGTCTTCTTGAAACAGGGAATTCAGGAATTTCTATGGCCCACGTTGCAGAGGAAGTCAGACTCAATTACAGTGAGAACAGAACTTGACATTCTTAAAGTTAAAAATCTAGACTGAGTCCTGGATATAGCTTTCAAAAGCTAGACATCCCAGCTCCTTTTAACTCATCATTTAAGAATTTGAACCCAAAGCCACCAAGATCAAAAGCAGAGGATGAATGTGTTTCCTTTCTTCCATAACATTTATACCACATACATTATTTCATTATTCTGCTATGTTACCACATAGCAGGAAGATTTACACTAAGCAAGACGCCCCATTTAAATACACAAAGAATTACAGTGCTCAGCAAGACAACGCATCGTTATTGATAAACATCCTGGAGTCCTTTGCAGGGTCTCTAGAAAAATTTACTCAGGCATAATGCTTTGTTCTTAACAATTTTCTTCCCTAAGTTATCAAACACACACAGAATCAAATATTAAATATTCAAAATGACACACCCTATGAGAACAAAAAATAACATTTCGTGTAATCAATGGAAATATATTTAAATTTCAGCTACAAAACCAGAAGTATCCTAACTACCACAGAACACCACCAAAACCACCACAGATTGCAAGACGGAGCCCCACAGCCTTGCAAAAGTGTCTCTTGATGATCGGAAGTTCTTGAAACCTTAGAATTGTACAAAACTAAAATTACCGGATCTTGCTGTTTCGGGAGTAGAGTAATGAACATCCATTTCTTCAGAGGATCATATAGACATTGTAAGTAAATGTGCTTGAAATATACTACTCGATGGCCTATCCCAGGCTATGCTAAAAAACTCGCATCGTTTGGGAAAAAAATAAAACAAGGAGACTTCTAGCTAAGAAGCTTTTCTTTCTGATAAACTGGAGGTTCCCATTGATGAGAAGGGCTCCGCTCATATTTCAGTGTACCAGTGATGATTATGTAAAGGGGAGAGATTAAGACAGGAATGTGAAAACACTGGTTTTTGCAGTTTGGTAATCACATGAAGTCTGTCACAAATAAAATCCTTTCACATTACTCCCACAGATTATCGAGAAATTTTTGTTATGTATCCTGATTGTTACAACAGCTGCTTAATGCAGAGATATCAACAACTTTTTTAAAAGGTAATGGGCATAATTTCACCAATGACTTCAAAATGTTGGCATTAATAAATACACAAATACAGTCAGTCTCTTGTATCTTCTTCTATTTGACTGCTGCAGTGCAAGGATAGCAGAAAAATAACAGATGCCTTGTACAGCTGGCACTTGAATACATCTGTGCTTATGCACCACGACATGACTATCACCTCTTCACAGATTTGCTAGCAATGAGTCACACCATTTATAAAAGCTCTGCGTAAAATGTTTGCACACAGGGACAAACATACTGTACAAAACACACTTTTTATACAGGGCAAAAAAGGAGAAGACTGACGGAACCAACACGAGGCCAACATTTTCTGTGCCTAGAAAGATTTTACTCTGCCTGCTCGCAAGTGTTCACTTTCCTCTCTGCCCACTCTGCCACGTGATGAACAACATCCCACTCAAAGAGAAAGTGGACATGAACTACAGAATGGCCTCATGAGTCCAGAAAGAAAAAAAGGTGAGGGGAAAGAAAAAAAAAAAAAAAAGAAAAATGTTTGAGGGGCATAAAACGGAAACAGAGCTTTTGCTGAAAAAGCTGACCACCAGGTCTTTATAAGGCAACCTTTAGTGAGGCATTTGCCAGTTAATTATGGCATTTAAAAAAAAAAAATCATCTTAGGATAGAAGCTGTTTGGCTGACATAGTGCATCATTGAATATCTTATACCACTTTCACAAAAGATAAGGCTAGAATCTTCAGAAAAAGAGATCAAGGGAAGCATGTCCACCTACCTGCTCTTTTTACTCTACATGTATACAACATGAGCTTGATCAGACACACAAGGTCGTCACTTGGGAACAATGACAGAAGTTATGGCATCATAACACATTTTATACAGTAATAAAATTGCTAAAATAATAATTACAACCTTAATTAGGGAAAAGTATACAGTTATACAAGACATTGCTACAGGAACAATATTTTCTATCACCTGTACTCCTTTATACTTTAGAAAAAA